TTTTCATTTTTCAAATAGCGTATTGTAAATTTACTAAATTTTAATGGCTCATTTTATGACATCTTTCGGCATTGAAAACACAAATGAATTTCGCGGCAAGTGTTTTCCTCCGTGAAACCTTCTATGCGAAGCACCATAAAGTTATTAAAATTTGTTCTGGCGAAATGGATCGGCAAAAGACAGTCACAGATCGACCGCAATTTGCCGATAATACTTCACAATTTTAATTATCTCTGGGATGACATTTAGCGAAAGTGCGTACTTTGTATTATTTCACCTGTCTTACTCTTTTCCTGCGCGCGCGGTAATGCTTTCATTAATCACCTTAATGATCCTGTGAGGGGAAAAGTTAAGATCCGTTCACTCGAGAGCATTGAACTGTGCACACATTGTTCGGCGCTGCATGCTGGGACAGCCTATGTGTGTGCCTTGGAGTCAACGGCTTTATCAAAGCAAAAAAAATTTCATTTGAAAAAAACGTAATGTCGAGATCAAATACGACCTTCGTTCACATTTTAGGAATGTCGACCCGGAATAGAGGAAAGCGTGCGGTTTGAGGCTGAACTGCATGGATGTCGTTTTGACTAGGCAGAAAGAGCGTCAAACCCGCATGACAATGAACACAGACTATCGTGTCACTTATCGTCTATTCTGATCAGATGGGAAGTTTTCTAGATTTCATGAATCCTTCAAAATTTGTAGGTTTTAGATAAGCCTGTTCTTCGTCGCCCGATTCTCATTCCTTGACATTTTATTTCACCCGCGAACCCACCGGTGAAATAGATATAAATTGAACTCAGTAATCGGTGATCGGCGGCTACGCAACGTCCCCCTTCCCGATAAAGTTGCCAACCCCGGGCAAAGGTTGTAATTCCCATGGGTAATTACGACAGCCAACTCCAGGGAAAATGACACTGCCCCAGTTTTTGGTGCCATGCATGGTCGTCTGATTTCTCCGGGGGTAGGGTGATAGTGGAAAGGACACGGTTGTGGCCTGGGGCTGCCGACTTTTGTTTTGTTCTTGATTTAGTTTCAGTGCTCTGAACAACCTCCTGAATAAATCCCGTTTCCAGATTGATGAATTGAGATTTAATTTGTAAATTTTTTAACGGAATCTTCCATTTCTATCGCGTGACTTTGTGGAATAGAGAATTCAGTCCGTCACCCCTTGTTCTCACATTGCATCATAGAGCAAGAAACAGCACTCATAAAATTCATTACTGAAGCTTATAACTTCGTCAATTTCACACTCTCGGTGTGCATCTAAAATCTGAACGGGGGGGGGGAATCATAAACATCAATGAACACACAAAAGTAAAAAGGCCACTTTAATGGGTGACCAACCAAAATGTACCGTGTACAATGCGTCATGTTTAGAATCTTCAGGTGGATCTGCTTCACCGGTTTATCTGACCAAGCACAATATTACCTTCTCGGCTTCTGTTTATAATGGCTTTGCTTGAATATGACCAATGACTTCCATAGTTGCAGGTGTTATTTGTCAGCGGCAGCCGTAATATGATTCGACCGGCGAAGCCCTTGCCGTGCACATCACAGAGGTGGCTGGCTTATTTTTTTTAGGCGAGGAGGCGTAATCGTTGAACCATGGTCATGCTTGCTCGATTGCAGTTCCCGGCCTTTCTTCATCTAGTACAAATCCATGATTAATTTCTGAGTTTACGAGGTCTGAGAGGAACATCAAACGTGCAAGCTAGGGTGTACAACGTGCCCTTCTGAATCCCCCGTTGGTCGACTATCGTGAACATAAATGTTATCCATCCATCACCATCTCAATCACCAGGGGCAACCGGAATTTGTAGTAATCTTCTCGGATGGCTGGCGGCGCCTGTGTCGCCAGAAGAACCCAAACACTAGACACGAGAAATTCATTTTTACGACTCGATTTTGAGCTTAGATTGAGCTCGCCGGCTAGGCAGTTCTAATCACCGGCACGAAGTCTGATCTTTGTTGGCGGTGGGGGGGGGGGGGTAAGCTTTAGCTTCATATCACTTCTTGACGATATTACAGCAGTACGGAAGATAATTGGGAGGGGATGAAATATGCTAGAGCATTAATTTATAGCAACATCGCAGTAAATCTCGCTGCAACGTAAGACCGCTCGTAAATGAACCATTGATTAATTTTAACTACATGTAATTCCATGTACGTGGAACTTCGTTCAGGGTGAATTTGTAGTTTATAAATAAGCCCTGTTTTTCTTGATCGTCCATATGGAAAGAAGAAATGACATTCACTTTTAGTGAGATTTTAATTGATTAATTTTCTTTGCGGCGAACTTGCAATTGTTGAAGTAACAATGGCAATAGCAAATCCCGGGCATCGGGACCAGGAGGACGATGGAATATATTTGACGCTCTAGCTAACAGGCATTTTTTTTTAATACATCCGTGGAAGAATCCTTATTCCACCCCCACAACAAAGGTGATTCTTCCGTCTTTAAAATGCTGGCACTGTTTAGTGTTTGTTTATATTCTGGAAAGGGGGAGGTGCACCATGTCTCCACCCACAGAGAAAGTCCCCGCCAGACCATCCTCCAAGCAGCCTCGGAATTTTTTTAAATAAAGTTTATTTATTTTACCGTTCACAGTGTCACCAGTGTTTCCTCTTTAACCAACCCACTGAGACCGGACAATGACTGGCGTTGATTCGGAAGTGAACTTTATTTTATCTTATTTTCAATCGATCCTCTAAGAATGTTTCCTTAAAAAAATTGAAATTAACGCGCTTGGGGAGGTGTCTTTTCCGGATTTCGTCTGTCGAGTTTGGCAGGTGTCGTGGCCTCTCAGTGGAAAATCGACGAAGTTTAATTGTCACCCAAGTCCTCATCATCCCCCTCCATTTCCAAAGTATGGTGTTCCATATGTGCCGTCTGATTGGATTTTTAAATAGGCATCGCATTTTTGGTTGGGCGTCGCATTTTTCAACCAAAGTAGAGACAGTACGACGATAAACGCCCCCTCAGGCAGCAACTCTGCATGTTAGCGAATACCAACCAAAGTGAATTAACAATAGACCTACTGGGTTTAGTTTTGACGTAACTTTACGCAATGACAGCAGTTACAACCAAAACAGCAACAGCAATAAATAACTATAGTAATCATTAATACGGGGCATTTTTAACTCAACAAACTTGCAGAAGTGAGAAACCAAATTGAGCGATGTGAACTTCCACAAATGATTGGGTTGTTTGCATCAAAATGACAATTGTAGGAACCTGACCGAGTTCATTAAAGGGCTGTTAATTTATTTTCCTGCAATTATACCAATCGACAAATACCGTGATGCTGATTTAGCCGTTTCCATAACCATTAAACATATGTACGCATACCTTTAGCGGTCCAGTCAACAATGTTAGGTCAGCCAGACCATGGCTTCACCATCAACGTTAATGGCTGCGCGGCTTATTCACATCAAAATGCGTCACCGGTTGAAAAATGCGACGCCGGCTGAAAAATCCGACCAGACGGCACATATGGAACACCATAGCAAAGTGCGGTTTTAGGAAGAGGTGCATGAGGCCTATTTAGGCTATTTGACCTTCGAAAATTTCTCTACTTTGTTACTCTTTTTATTTCATTTCATTTATTTTATTTTTCGGGATAAACATTTCACAGAAATACAATAACATATAGTTTACAAAAATTACAGAATAGGATACACAAGACATACAAAGGACAAGTGAACAGTATTTAACCAGCTCCCGCTGGATTACCCAAAAGAAACATGGTTTCTGTCGAGGAGCTCTTCAACTGGTCAAACAGAAAACAATGAGAACAATTAAACATATAGATTGATACAATTTAAAAAATATAAGGCTTTACATAAATAACATACTTATAACTTAAATAACATAAATAAATAGATAAATAGCTAAAGTCTCTTGGGGGAAAATGGGATATATATTAAAAAAACAAAAAAACCTTATAAAATAATACTAATAATAAAAATAATAATAATGATTTGTATACCTTATTTAATAAATACACTGTTAACCTAGGCAACATTCAGCGGCATGATAATGGCAACGGGCTGTTTAACTGGCAAGGGAGATAGGGTCTTGGTGAAAAAGGTGATCACGTAAAGAATTTAAGAAGTCTTTCGGAGAGGGTTCCAAACGCAGATTTCGGAGGTTACTTGGAAGTGAATTGAAGAATCTTGGGAAGAGTGTAAAAAGAGAGAATTTCACACAGTTAGCACGGCAGCACTGATGTTTGAAGAGCAGTGAGTCCATCTTCCTTGTGTTGGGCTGTGGGAGAAAGTGTGACGGGATATCTATATATTTGTAGAGGCAATTGATAACAAATGAGACACTTAAGCATAGGAGACGGTTGTAGAGAGGGGAAAGATTAAGTTTAGATAAGAGTTGTTCATAAGAAAGGGAGTTGGCAGTATTGAAGGGGAGGCAAGATTTCGTGAAGCGCCGCTGTATTGTCTCAATATTCTGGATGTGATTTTTCTGGTGAGGTAGCCAAACTGGTGATCCATATTCTAGAACAGGTCTGCAAAGACCTTATTATTAGTAGTATTTAGGGCTAAACTCGCTCCTCTCGTGATAAGAATAAAATTGTCGGCCCCATTCTGGTAGTTTCCATCATTCTATCCGGTTAACTATCACTCTCAACTCCAAGATAACTGAGAACCAAAATAAGGGAGAGGTTGATTTGGTAGGAGCTTGGTGAGACCTAGGCCTATCACTTCGGTTCGGTGCGCTTTACTATAATGTGGGTTTTCTTAAATATCAGTACTCGCAGGTCTCATCTTTACGAGTAATATCAGTAAAGTTCTGAAGCTTAATCAAGCTCCATTTTCTGCAGCAGAAACACCTTAGTGTCTAACACGAGTCCAGGATTTGGAGAATACCACTGATAATGGCAGTAACTGTTCAAAATTGGTTTGGGATGAGGTCCCAAAAACACATGAAGACGAAGTCCGGCAGATTTCTGAGGTCTGAAAGGGCGCCACCTGCTGTTCGCCTTCGATCAATGGCGGCCGTTACGAATGCGTTGTGAGGAATGCTGTTTGCTGGATGAAGTTGAAAGTTCTATTTTACCACAGAGGAATATCAGCTAGTTTTTTTCATTTAGGGTCAACAGTTCTTACGTGTTTTGAACTGAGTAAGTATAAAGTGACTGCGACAGTTCAGGATAACTTGATTCTTGTAGGCCTAACTTGTAAAATTAACCAAGCCCCCATATTTTTCGATACTTTGCTGCCCATATAAAAAGTCTCTGTAAGTTATGACATTGACATGTATGATGTAGGATTCAGGACATTACTGATCTAGGCCTAGCTATGCCGATAGGCAGTTGACCTTAGTTGGGCGCGATCTGCAAATCTCAGAATGTAGAATATTGCTGCTCGGCATCATGAATCTTCTTACGGTAGGCCGATGTGTTTTCTTGCTCAATTAATTAGCCTAGGCCTAGAGATTTCTGGCATGCCTGGCAATAGCCAATCGACTTTTCTGTTTCCAAATCAGTCTAAAAGACGCCACTGTTTCAAAATTTTAGAGTAAAGTAAGGTCACTAAAATGAAAATCACGTGCTAGATTTACATCTGAAAATATTTGAAAACATATGAGGCTATTTTTCATTTAACTCAATTGCAGAATACCCCGCCACCTCGCACTATCAACCTCATGGCCAGGTACAGGTTAACCCTAACCATACTGAACCCAACAAGGTTATGCAGGATTTCAATGGTCCCTAAGGGGTTAGGGTTAAAGTGTCACACTCCCACGTAACCAGTCATTCCAGGGGTTGTGTTTTAGTGTCGGGGTATTCTGCAATTACTTTTTTCATTTTCCAACTTTCGTTGCTCAAAATTTCACACTCAAGTATTCTTTTCGAATGAATATGATGATATGTTGAATACATGACCCCAAAACAAGGAAATTGAAGCTTACTTAAGGGGGGGGACACTTCTAAAGTAGTTAACTTCATAGCAAGTCCAGTGTATCTTATGCATTACATCTGCCCATTGCATTGGTGTTCTGGAATTACCTCAGCAAGTGTTTCCCGTGTAATCCATTTGCCATTAATTACATGTAGGTCTAGTGCGTCTTCCGAATACTAGAAGTCCAACACACTGAAAAATTCCAAGCAGTGATGGGTGAAGGAGAGGAAAATAATGCTACCGCAGCTGGGCCTTACACCTTTCGTGGCATGGATTATGTGGTCAGCATGTGGCTGGATGAGGATAACGCCACACTGACTGTTGAGGTTGAGGACAGACTGACCGCAGACCAGTGGAGGGGGACATTTGATGCCGCATGTGAGTATTATAAACCACTTTTGGAATTACATGTACCTTGCCGTGGCTGGGAATGACCCTACTCAGTCGACACATGACGGCGTTTCAACAGTTTCCCTCATTGAAATGATGTCTCCTAAGTTCAGTGTTGATTTTTATGATTGTGTCCACGTGAATGAAAGTCACTGGCTGGCAGTGTTAAAGCTCGAAACCAATTTTTCTTGGTCTCTGTCTTGACCCTTCGAAATCCTGGTCTTGGTGTTGGAGTTGGACACAGTTGTCTGTGCTCCATCATTAAAGACTAGCGGATGCACAGGTCCCTCATTGGTTGAAAAGAGCTGTGCTGGTGGGAGTATTCATTTTGTCCATAGCAATAGGACTGCAACACTTGCATTTCACAGTTGTTTGTGAACCAGCGATGTGCAGTTCCCACCAAAGGAGCCTCTGTTGCTAGGAACATTGCGCCCTCTCTTGGTCCAGCTCGGGGCCCATTTCCTATTGATATATCAGAAAGAGCTCGAAAGCTAGATACATGTACATGTACCATTTGACACCCTCTTTGCAAACCCGACGAGACAAGTCTGAAAAAATTGAAGTGTGTGAATGCTCCAATTTTTCACTGTTTAATTTGAATTTGTAGGACGTTATCAATTTTGTGTTTAAAAATTAGTGATGTCTGCATACGGAATTCTTCCCCATACATCCTCACTGAGTAGGAGACAACTTATTCCAGAGCAATGCCCGCCTTGCTGCATCCCTTTTTAGACTTGGCTGTTAATCTTGCAACTAACTTCACTGAGGGTGTCCCTCCATGCACTACATCTCTTGAGTGCCCCCTTGAGCTTGTAAAGCTCTTGTGGCCAGTTACATCATTCCTTGAATCATGAGGCTTCCATGACTGATGACTTTCAAAGATTCCACTGCTCAGGCACCATTCCACTGCTCATGCACCTTCATAAAAATTCTTTAGTTTTATATTAAAACAGTGGTGATTTTTATTTACAAGGCTTTTAAATGTGTTCTTTGTGAATATGCTTGAATTAATCAAGAAGCTTTGATTAATTTCAGGACAATTAATGNCCAAATGAGGATCATAAAATTTGAATATTAATTATGTGCCTGTATAGGGATTCTGCAAACATTATGTCAAGTAATGTCCAGAACTTGATGATTTTTCCGTTCATCATTTCTTAGCCTCTTGAAATAGTATTATGCGTTGTGCAAGTGTTACTTGTGAAAGAGTGAAATTCTCTGAAAATTAAACTCCAGAAAAGTTCATGCTGTATTCCCACCTTTTAGTCTTCTTCATGTTCAAGGATACATGTTTTTGCTTCGTGTTAAGAGACTGAATTGTATGCATTGGTTTGTAGATATTGAGGACCTGACCCACAAGACAGGCAACTTTAAACAGTTTTCCATTTTTACAAGCATGCTGGAATCGGCCATCAACAAGGTAAATATATGTATAAGCGTATATCAATCATGCAGAAATTTTCAGTGCTTGGAGGGCCTTTTGATGCATGTGTTATACTTTGTAAATTTCCAGGGTTGTTGATATTATACGTCAGTTGAGGGATACTTTAGACACTCTTTAGTTAGTATTAGTAAACATTTCTGGTAATGACACCAGAGATTCCTCTAAGCCCCTGGGCACTGCAGCTCACAAGCCTGAAGAAACCTGTAGAGAGGAGACAGTGAGAAGCAGTAACAGTTGTAGAGGTGGGAGAAAACCCCAGGGGAATACTCTGAGTAAAACCAATGGAATTAGGTAGGGATTGAAAACCCAATCCACATGTGGACAGCTGGGATTTGAACCCAGGCCGCTGAGGTGGAAGACAAGGAAAGAATCACCACTCCACCTGGACCTCCACTATTCTACATTTTGTGAAGTGATTTTTTTTTCCTGGCATTTGCTCAGTAACTGAAGTTGCTGGGCTGAATATTCTGCCAAGGAGACCTGTTCTACCAGCATTTGTGATATCAAAGAACTAACTACATGTATTTCCGTCTCGGTTCCAAACAATAGACCAGCGAGTCAGTGACCCTTGACCTCTTGACCTATGCTGACCTGGAGACCCTAAGGAGCAGGAAGGCAGGTGCTGCTCGGAGTACTCTCCCCGGAGCTCAGAAAGCTGCACTGAGTGCCAAGAGATACCTCATTGTCACGTACACGGTGGAATTTGATAGGTCAGAGCTAAAAGGGGAAATGATAGATTGATCATTCTGTGCCAATTCAAACAACCTTTCACATAACCAATTAAGATTTGCCTAAAAAGACATTTTTAAAAATTCATTTCTTATTGCCAAATCTAAATCAGAACAGAAAGTTACATTTTTCACAACTAGCTACCTGAAATCCAAGTAAGGGCAAATGTTCTGGGCCCACGAGTCTGAAATCAATTTTCGCGGAGGGTCACAATCTTAGGCAACACATGTTGTCAATGTGTTTCTCCCGTGTTAACTTGGTGCCTTTGCACCTCAAACCACACCCTCCCACAAAACCACTGGAGCCAGAAGTACATGTAGTCAATGAATGCCACTAATCAGCAGTGCCTTATGCATGATGCAGTGACTTATGAACCACATACACGTAAGCTTTACTGTCCAAGTCTCTTAAATCTCAGAACTCAGAAAATACAAGGTGTTTGCTACTTTTCAATTTTTTCCCCCAAGTATTGTAGTTGAGTCCATCACAGACCTTTCACAAGTCTAGTAACAAGTTCAGTGACAAGTCCTTTCATAAGACCAGTCATATATAACGAGTGAACAATGACAAAGGAATGCTTTTGTCACAGTTCATTTGAATAGCTTGTGACTTGGCTAGGACTGAATGAGCTGTAATGATTTGTGATGAACACGACTACAACACGACTTAATTAGTCACAGTTTTGTGCTTGTACAGGTTCGTTGATAGTCTGTGATTTTTATGACTGCAGGATACATTACCCGTTACCATTGCCTTACCAAGGCAAACCAGATCCAGTGGCTTTGCAGGAAACGGTCAGAGAGCTCCGGAGAGAAATCAGGAGATTACAGTCACAGGTCAGAGAGGAAGACAAAAAAGTTCAATCTGTACAATTAAGTATGAATTTGAATTAGCTCAGTTCTTGCATCACTCTAAAAAATGCGAAAGAATTCTTTAGTTAGCAATGATTTGTTGACACAAGATCAAAGGGTAGACTGACATCAGATTGGTGAAAATTACAATCAATTATAAATTGCTTAACTTAGTCAATAGATCTGTTGGAAAAAGCTTGTACAATACAGAGAATGATCTACATTCAACTCGGCTATTCTGTGTTCAAGCAAAATCACATGGTCTAGTAGTATATCCATCATGTTTCAAAACTCAAGTGCAGTAGTCTCTCAGTAAGTTGAATCCCAGTATAACTGATGAAAAATAAGGGTCATCTGGATTTTAAGTTGTCGGGCGATTTCCAGATTTCCAGAGTACAATCAAGTTTAATGTACCGAACATCTATAGTATCTCCAACGTAACTTGCCCTGGCCGGCTTGACCATCAATATTTTCCTCGGTTTCTTTTAATGACAGGCATTCATTCTTTGAGACGAAATATCATTTTTACAAGATTTGTTTTATTATTCTTTCCTAAAAGTGTCTGCTCCTTTATTGATNCAAAATGAGGATCATAAAATTTGAATATTAATTATGTACCTGTATAGGGATTCTGCAAACATTATGTCAAGTAATGTCCAGAACTTGATGATTTTTCCGTTCATCATTTCTTAGCCTCTTGAAATAGCATTATGCGTTGTGCAAGTGTTACTTGTGAAAGAGTGAAATTCTCTGAAAATTAAACTCTAGAAAAGTTCATGCTGTATTCCCACCTTTTAGTCTTCTTCATGTTCAAGGAGACATGTTTTTGCTTCATGTTAAGAGACTGAATTGTATGCATTGGTTGTAGATATTGAGGACCTGACCCACAAGACAGGCAACTTTAAACAGTTTTCCATTTTTACAAGCATGCTGGAATCGGCCATCAACAAGGTAAATACATGTATAAGCATATATCAATCATGCAGAAATTTTCAGTCCTTGGAGGGCTTTTTGATGCATGTGTTATACTTTGTAAATTTCCTGGGTTGTTGATATTAAACATCAGTTGAGGAATACTTTAGACACTCTTTAGTTAGTATTAGTAAACATTTCTGGTAATGACACCAGAGATTCCTCTAAGCCCCCTAGGCACTGTAGCTCACCTGTAGAGAGGAGACAGTGAGAAGCAGTAACAGTTTTAGAGGTGGGACAAAACCCCAGAGGAATATTCTGGGTAAAACCAATGGTATCAGATAGGGATTGAAAACCCAATCCACATGTGGACAGCTGGGATTTGAACCCAGGCCGCTGAGGTGGAAGGCAAGGAAAGAATCACCACTCCAACTGGACCTCCACTATTCTACATTTTGTGAAGTGATTTTTTTTGCTGGCATTTGCTCAGTAACTGAAGTTGCTGGGCTGAACATTCTGCCAAGGAGACGTGTTCTACCAGCGTATGTAATATCAAAGAACTAACTATTTCTGTCTTGGTTCCGAACAATAGACCAGTGAGTCAGTGACCCTTGACCTCTTGACCTATGCTGACCTGGAGACCCTAAGGAGCAGGAAGGCAGGTGCTGCTCGGAGTACTCTCCCCGGAGCTCAGAAAGCTGCACTGAGTGCCAAGAGATACCTCATTGTCATGTACACGGTGGAATTTGATAGGTCAGAGCTAAAAGGGAAAATGATAGATTTATCATTCTGTGCCAATTCAAACAACCTTCCATGTAACCAATTAAGATTTGCCTAAAAAGACGTTTTTAAAAATTCATTTCTTATTGCCAAATCTAAATAAGAACAGCAAGTTACATTTTTCACAACTAGCTACCAGAAATCCAAGGAAGGGCAAATGTTCTGGGCCCACGAGTCTGAAATCAATTTTCACGGAGGGCCACAATCTTAGGCAACACATGTTGTCAATGTGTTTCTCCCGTGTTAACTTGGTGCCTTTGCATCTCAAACCACACCCTCCCACAAAACCACTGGAGCCAGAAGTACATGTAGTCAATGAATGCCACTAATCTGCATGATGCAGTGACTTATGAACCACATACACGTAAGCTTTGCAGTCTAAGTCTTTCAAATCTCAGAACTCAGAAAATAGAAAGTGTTTGCTACTTATCAATTTTTTTCCCCTAAGTATTGTAGTTGAGTCCATCACAGACCTTTCGCAAGTCCAGTGACAAGTCTATTGACAAGTCCAGTGACAAGTCCTTTCATAAGACCAGTCGTATATAACGCGTGAACAATGACAAAGGAATGCTTTTGTCACAGTTCATTTGAAAAGCTTGAGACTTGGCTAAGACTGAACGAGCTGTAATGATTTGTGATGGACACGACTACAACACGACTGCAGTTTGGATAGACAGACACTTAATTATTCACAGTTTTGCGCTTGAACAGGTGTGTTGATAGTCTCTGATTTTTATGACTGCAGGATACATTACCCGTTACCATTGCCTTACCAAGGCAAACCAGATCCAGTGGCTTTGCAGGAAACGGTCAGAGAGCTCCGGAGAGAAATCAGGAGATTACAGTCACAGGTCAGAGAGGAAGACAAAAAATTTCAATCTGTACAATTAAGTATGAATTTGAATTAGCTCAGTTCTTGCATCACTCCAAAAAATGCGAAAGAATGCTTTAGTTAGCAATGATTTGTTGACACAAGATCAAAGGGTAGACTGACATCAGATCAGTGAAAATTACAATCAATTATAAATTGCTTAACTTAGTCAGTAGATCTGTTGGAAAAAGCTTTTACAATACAGAGAATTATCTACATTCAACTCAGCTATTCTGTGTTCAAGCAAAATCACATGGTCTTGTAGTATATCTATCATGTTACCAAAATATCATTTTTATAAGATATTTTTTATTATTCTTTCCTAAAAGTGTCTGCTCCTTTATTGAT